GAAAAAAAAAGGAAAACCTTCAATTAGATGGCTGGACACACTAGCCACAACAATAGATTAAATATATCAAAAGTCATGGAGATCATGCAGGGTCAAGCAATACTTCTTTCTGCTATATGTAATATTGACATGAGTTTGAGCTGAATTCAAATGAATAGCAATCATTACATAGGTAGAAAAATGTTGAGAGAAGCCTGTTAATTCAATAGTAAGTAAAAACTGGGAGTCTAAAACACAAGTTTCCTATTATTTATTCATTGTTCACTCCTTTGAGACATGAAGGGTGAAGGTCCAAGGTCGACCGAAAAAGACTATGCCCTGTGTGTCCGCATCTACACTTACCTACCATCTCCATAGAGAAAACGAGAAGCAGAGTTGTATATGGAGCAAACGTGCTCTTGGATGTCACTTCAGGGAATCTTCCTGTCTAATCGGTGGCATGATGTTTTCTCTTGAAGTACTAGAAATTTAACTAAATAAGAAATGTTTCCTGACAGATTATGATGTTCCAATATTCCAAGAAACAGGTATATCAGAAAAAGGTGGTAAGAATTGGTTAGTTTCTACAAATACTTTAAACACATAGCTTATGGAATACTGATGGGTAGAATGTGTGATGACAAGATCCAGAATAAATGAATGATTTCATGTTTTGGGGCATGAGTATTGAAGGATGGAGTTTTGTATACTGATTTAGGGACATGTGTGTAATGAGCATATTTTGGAAATAGAGTCATGTTCATATGACAACCAAGTGAATGTTAGATGAGTAAAAGTTAGATGTGAATTCAGAGTTCTGTGGAGAAAAGTATACTTGAGACCTAAATGTTAGTGTTTTCAGTTTAAGGAGAACTTTAAAAATTATGAAACTAGACACATTCACAAGAGTGAGAATAAATTTACCAATTACCTAAGAAGGAATAGACAGAGAGAAGAAAGAAGAAAACAAGTCAGGGAAAGAAATATGTAGATAAATTCATTTTCACTCTACTATTTAATCAGAGACAAAAGATGAGTACCTCGTGAACCTTCTTTAACCTTTCTAAAGTTTACTTTTCCACTTGACAGTTGTTTCCTATACAAATTGAAAGCATTATTTTTATAAACTCAATTAACATTTTCAAACAGAATTCAAATGGAATAGGGTAACAATTGCGTAATATTTGAGAAATGATTCAAGTGAGATGTAATTAAATAACATTTAAAATAGGAATATGTGATTATTAACACATTTTGATACAGTAGTCATGGACTACAAGATTAATAGTGTTTTAATTTTTAATTTCTGATTCACAAAAGATAAAAAGGTTGACATTTTAACATAATTTAATCATAAAATCTGCTAGAACACTGCCTGATAACCTTAGTCTTTCATGAAAACTTAGCCAAAAAGTGATGTTGGTAACACTTAAAATTCTAATTATATGGTGCTGGCTGTGTGACATGGAGTTGGTTCCAACTCCTACTGACCATGCATAGGGTTTCCTAGGCTGTAAATCTTTACAGGAATAGAAAAGCGCATCTTTTGCCCCGCCAGAATGGCTGGTAGTTTTGAACGCTGACCTTGAGGTTAGCAGCCTGACTCATAACCACTATGCTACCAGAGCTCCTGCCAATTACATAACAGGCAAATATTTAACATTTAAAAATTATTAATTTGAACAAGAATATAACAATAATAGATAAAATCCTCAAGAAAAATCTGAGTGGATAAAACACTGTGTCCTTACGATAGCCACAAAATTCACAGAGTAGATACTGAGCCTGCTTGGGAATGAGATACGTACTCTTCCTGAAAGATCTGAAAAATACATAGATATTTGTGGTGTGAAGGTTGAAACAAAATTTGGAAACTGAGGACAACATCTCTGCCAAGACTGGAAAACATGGCATAAGCCTGGATTTACAGGCAAAATTTTAAGATAATACCTATATTAAACTCTTAGAAAATTTAATTAGCTTGTTTCTTTTTACTTATGTTAACTGACATCCTTCATCTTTAGTGCCTACATTGCAGACAAGCAGACACTTAGCTGTTTTGAAACCTGTGATGGTAAGCACTGACCTCTGGAGATCTGTGTCACTTTTCTTCTTAGTAAACCACAATTCTGAGGAAGAAAAGACTTCAAAGGACATTTTTATAACTATCCAAAAGACTGGTTGAAACACCAGAACTTTCCTGACTTTCTTTGTTCCTCAGACTATAAAAAGCCTTCTCATTTGCAGCATTTAGTCTGATGCTAAGCATAGCCCAACTTGTAAATTGTAGCACTGCTTTGATTTTGCTTTTGCTCTTAAAAATTCAACAGTGGAAGAATACTATATTCTGAATGGAAATATTTACCTCCCAAAAGCAAAATGAAACAAAAAACAAGAGTCCAAAATCTACTATTATTCATTTGAAAAAATTCTAGGGCTTTACAATTTTTTTCACATTGGATTATATAGTTTTGAAGTTAGAATAAATATCAGGAAAATTAAACAATATGTTAAAAAATAAAAGTTTTCAGGAAGAATTTCTTTTTCTAGATTAAAAAGTACTTATTATAATGAAGTGATCATGAGCAAATGATGATTGGATTAATTTTCGTTACATTCTTGCCATCAAATATTATTTACTGTCACAAAAATAGGGACTTATATCAATTATATCAACTGTTGTTGTTGTGTGCTATTCAATCATTTCCAGTTCAGACCAATTCTATACAGGGTTTCTAAGAAAAGGCTGCTGAGTTCAAACTGCCAACCTTACAGTTAGCAGTCTAGTACATTTCCTATAGTGCCACAACAGGACTCCAACTAAGGAAAGCAAGAAGAGATCCAATTCATAAAAGCACCACATAAAACTAACTTTGACGTATGAATTTTAATTTGTTAGGAAAAGATGAAAGAGGTTTTTTATGTTATAATAATTGAATATCCCTCTGGAAGAAAAACAACTCATGCACACAATTACATACAAAAACAAATTTCATATGGATTGGAAGTTAAACAAAAATATTGTAGAATTTCAGGAAATGAGAGCAAGGGAAGGTAAGAAAGACATACTTTGTATATTACTGTTGGCCTCAGAGCTAACCAGAGGCAGTTCTGAGGCTGTCTTACAGTTGCTAGTCTCCTGAACTAGCAAATGAATTACAATAGCCATCCCATAGTTTGGTGTTCTCTTCAAAATCAAGACACATTTGTATAGAATCACTAGTGAGAGACAAGAGTGAAGATTCTTTTCATCCACCTTCAGTCTCATTGTAAAACCCATGTTACTTTCAAGACAAATTCAGTCCAGCTCTCTGTATTTGCCAGAACACCAGTTCCAATGATCTCTAGCTCTGATTCAAGTACAAGTAGTAGAAAAACAAACACGACTTGAAGAGGAATCCTGTTTTATTAACAACAAACTTCCTACGCCAAGGAGGCTTATCTTGTGGATTTATTAATTTCTATTTGCTCTGTCTTTTTTTCCCCCCCAGATCCTATGCATAAACTGGAAAAAATTTTGATGACAGTTTTTATTACATATTTGGTCCTGATGCTGACTTTCACTACTGTGTTCTTTTTTTACTGGATATACTATAAAAGAGGTAACTTATGCAATAACAGTGGGATCCATGAGGGTATTTTCCCACTTGTTATGGCTCTGTGGGATCAGCACTGGATAGCAAGCCCCAAGATAGGCAGTACAAACCTACCAGCTAATCCTTGGAAATCCTAAACAAGATTGATATGAGTCAGAACCAACTTGACAGCATTAATAACAACATGTTCTAGTGTCACGGGGTGTTTAGGCAAAGCTGTATGATTATTGTCTCCTAACACGATGCCTTACAAAGGAAGATATTACTAGTTGTTATTCACCTTGCTGCTTGCTGTGTACTGTGTAGTGGCATAAAGTCAGTTCTGATTCATAGCAACCCTCTATAAGGTTTCCAAGGAGTGGTTGGTGGATTTGAAACACAGACCATTGCAGTTCAAAATGCATTGTTGTCAGTGTGTGTATGTATGTATACAATATATATATTCCAACACTCATCGTCAGTTTGTCATACTGTGGTGACTTGCATGTTGCTATTTGATTCTGGAAGCTATGCCAATTCTTCCAACACAGATGCCACTGCTATTTTAAAACCAGCAGGGTCACTCATG